ACCTCTTATCAAGCAGCCGCACCTTCTTATCTCATCGTATCATATCTTCCATGGGCTTACACTCGTCCAACAATTACTGCCTCACACCTTATCGATTGATAACGCGAGGTAGCAAATCCAGCGTGGAAGCCAGCGTGATCGCTTCCTTTAAAGGACGAATTCACGATGAAAAAGCAACCCATTTCAAATTAACTAGGGATGGTGAGTGGTACACGAAAGAAGGAAGAACCATGAGAAACGGCCCAGAACCCGAGAAATGGGACCCCTTCCTTGCCCGTTGATTTGCGCATTGATGCGACTCTCATCGCTGTGCCCTCTTCAACACTACGCTCTCTCTGCTATCTAATCACTCGCCACGTATAGACCTGCGGCGAGTGAAGATAGTCGGTGGGCGTACCCCGCCAACCGCGCCAAGAGTGAGCCATGCTAGGTCGCCGAGGTCAAATCTTTCGCTGCCAATTGCGCGTCAGTCGCACCCTCAGGAGGTCCGCCGGTCTCTCAACTAGGTGAATTACTTCTTCTTCGACCTTCATTCTAATCGTGAATTCCTCCTGTGGGTGGGCAAGATTCTTTTCGAGACTGTAGAGTACGTTTTGAGTAAGGCAAAATATTTGCATAGCAGTGAGGAACTCCCATGAATCTGACACCTGTCACCTGCTTTTCTTCGTGCGATCTTTTTTTTTCAAAGAATTTTCGTTCGTTTGAGGCACATTTGCGCATTTCGTCTGACGGCATGCCTGCGGACGGTATGGGAATTTGGTATGTTGAAAGAGATGGTTTCGGAACTGCATGGGGAGCACCGGCGAATTTCAATGGAATCGGAGTAGGTGAGGATTTTTGAGCCTCGTAACGTCATCATTGGTTCGCGTTTTCCTACGCTGTCTAGCTACAGTCTGAGAAAATACCATTCGGTTTTTTTCGAAGCAACAACCCCAGATGAAGTCGTGTCGAAGAATCTTTCTTGTGGAGAGGTACATATAGAGTAGCCCACGAAGTGCCGTTGCCGAGGCACGAAAATGCGCGACAATGGCACTAGGGCCTTATGAAGTGATCTAAGGCGACTAATGTGAACTTACAGACGAGCCACCTCGCACTCGCTCTCACACAACGTGGATGATTTAAAGCGACACTCCAGATCGAGCTGGTGAGGTAACAGCGATGGGTAATGGTGGCTTGGAAATGATATATCTAGACGTTCCGCGGCGCGAGTGGCCGTGCTAGGCCGTTGGGGATATACTGTTCACTGCGAAGCGTACATCGTCTCACATACCCCTAAGAAGGCTTACCTCTTCAATTAGGTAAGTTGCCCTGGGTAGCATCGATATGTTGGCAAGTGGACGCTTACCACGCGCACGGTCCAGGGATCGAATCCAGGGTCGTGCTTCTGGCAATCACGGCTTCAATCTCCCGCCGCGCTTCTTTCTACTTATAATATTCGTGTGAGAAAAAAACACTGACATTACATCCACTGGACTCTGTTTAGGCCAAATCGTATTCAAACGCCACTACCAATGTACAAATGGAAGTAGAACGCGTGCCGGCATCCTAAAAACGGATTGATCATCGGCAAATGCTTTATCCTTTTTAACTCGCCCTTCTTCTGCCTCCGACTCCATTATCAAATCCTCTGAATGAAGCTAAATTAGGTGGATGATTAGTGAGTAGTGATTGCGGTTGGACCTAGTTAATTTGGACCTAATGAGACGCTAAGTGACGCTTCCAGGGCAGTGACATGATAGGGCGCCGGGCTCTCCAACTTTCACAGCTCTTGTTCATCCAGTGTCTTGAACGTGGAAAGGTGGCAACGGTCGCACCTTCGATATATAGCACTATCGTTATACATAGTTCTATTTTTATTCTACAGGGTAGGGCACAAGTTGGTGACAGAGCAATTGCGGCCCAATTCGAAACAGAACGGTTAAAGCAGGATATCAAGTACGGCAACCAAAACCATATCCTTCCAAACAATTGTTAAAATCCCTTATTCACAGTAGCCGTCTACATGCTTGGCAATTTTCTCCCAACTTACCCTACAGAAATTGGATCTTGCCCGTGGCATCATTTAAAATTTTATCTCGTACTTATTGAAGAGCAGCTGTTAACTGTCCAGTCAAACAGCGCTGGTTCGTGCACTTCTTTAGGTTCAATATCGACCAAGATAAATATCCGCAAAACTCATTTCTTATTGGCTGGCCAATCTTTGTGCAGCCTAAAGTCGGACAAATGGGCTCTGCAGCAGACCTTCACAAAATTCAATCCATGAGCCGGCATACCGCCTTGCTAGTGAATCCAATCGTTATGAGTAGTCAAACTGGAGGGAACTCTTCAAAATGCTATTTTGAATAGCATTTGGCTTAAGATTTTACTCCCACACAGGCGAAAACCTACTGAGAAGAAATCCTGGGTACTCAGGTTCAGTCCATCGCTGAGCTTGGACGTTGTGTCCGATTTGTGTTGTTCCTGCTCTGCTTCGAAACCCCTAGTGATTGTTTTCGAAATTTTTCGAATAAAGGCATGATCGTCCATGAAAAATATCAAAGGTTTCCTGAATGATGTGCGCACATACGGGCTTGCTTCACAGCCCGCGCTCCAGGTACTCGACATTTTTAACTCTGCTCGTCCTCTCCCTATTCGAGAGAGCTTGTCGTTACGGTATTTATGAACCTGTAGCCCAAGCTATTTATTAGCCTCGTTATTTTATTGTTGTGCAGAACTCTCCGCACCAATCCTTATTCTGTCCAGTCCGTATCCGATTTATCATGGTCTTCTCTGAGTCGCAGTGGATATGCTTTAACAATGCTCCTAGTCATCCTCTGGCTTTCGTAACCGATCCATCTTTAGTAGAAAGAGAACATGACGAGTTCACATTTGAGAATCGGATGGCAGTCTGGCAGTGCTCTCTTCGGGGACAGCAGGTTTCGAAAGGAATTCAGCCTTCGGCGCGAGTGA